GAACTGGCAGCCTCTGGACTAGTTTAATACAAGTGCCACATTTTTTTCTTGACAGTACTAACAATATATAATATTGCTTGTTCTGGAAGGTTGCTCAGCATGGAAATAGAGCACAAGTGATACATACATGAGAATGTGAAAATCTGCCATCTTTATCCCATCAATATTTGCTGATGGATCTTCCCTCGAATAATTAAAACAAATGAAAGATAAATTCAAAAAGTCATACTTTTTACACAGAATTTAGCCTTTAAAAAAGGTCAGTCATTTGTGAAGAAGCTTTACAGAATATTATTTCACAAAATCTTAGATGTGAAAGGGAACCTAGAGATTACTCAATCCAATCACTTCATATTTAAGTTTAAAAAATGGAATTCTATGAAGGATCACAGAGCTACCCAATTAGTAGCAAGACCAAGCATAGGACCCCCAATTTCCTGACTCAAAGTCCAGTCTTTACTATTTTATGATTAATTACTTTTGTTTCAGATGTTTATCTCAAAAGTAGATTGTACGAATTCAGAAATGTAAGATACTTCTTATTCTGTGAGAATCAAAGTCTGACATTAGTGGGAATTCCAAGTAATAACTGCTTTCCTGCCGAATTGGGACCTAAATTTACTAGTGCCTTCTGAGTAAAACAACAAATCAACACTAAATGCCGTTACAGCTTTGTGCCGTTCTAGCCTTATCCTTGATCACATCTCATAAAACGGAAAAGGGGTGAAGGGTTCAGAGTGGGCTTTGGGATCCAAGTCTCTAACCTCTTTGACTCTGTCTCTGAAATTAAAATGTGAAAAATTTATAGTTTAGTTAATAGTAATGTACCAATGTTAGTTTTATAGTTTTTACAAATGTGCTGTGATAACAGAAGATATCAGTACTGGAGGAAACTAGCGAAAGATGTGGGCTCTACAGGTGCTGTCTGTACACTTTGAACTTTTGTGTAAATCTAAAATTATCTCATAACAAAAAGTGTTTTTAAAGCAAAACAACAACAAAAACACCCCAAAAATTATAGTCATGGGCACTAGATTAACCTTGAAGCACAGAGATAGATATGTAAGTATGTTTCTTTTCAATGATGTTTGTAATCAATGCTATGAAGTATAGATATTTTAAGAGCAATAGAGATGAAATCTCAAGCTTTTCTCTGATATTTGCTCTTATTCAGTATTTGTAACAGTAATAAATACTTCACCAATAACCATCCCACTCCATCTCCCTTTACACAGACATAAAGACACACACACAGTCAGACTTCTGAAACTTATCCTGATATTTCTCAGTCACTTCTGCAGCTGAGTAGTCCCATGCTTCAGGCCCTTGCTTAGGAGGCTGAAGAGGGTGGAGAAGCTCCCATGTTGTGCCCCATCATAATCATTTTCTTCCAATGCTCTGCCTCTCCCAGCAAACCACCTGCCACCTTTTACATCAAACATCACAGTGCTTTTCCATCTCTCATTCTAATGAAGTCCACGAGGTTGATTAAGTGGACCTTCAGAATTGTGGAGAGAGGGGAAGCAAATGTTAGTAAGAGTATTTTTAAATTCTTGGAATTTGCATTTGATACTTCTTAATTACTGTTAAAGTAATATCCAGATTCTAAATACCAAGGCATACTATGTTTATATTGTAGACTGCATTTGGATAATTCTATTTTCTCTGGTATGTGGTTATGCTTTGGGGACACATTTTCCCACTAAAGTGGGAAGTGCAAACTTATTTAATAATGATCTCAACAGAGCACAATGTAAAATGATAATTTGAAATGATATTTTGTACAGCATCACGAGATAACTATACAAATGAACTCTTGTAAGGTTAACAATGTATTTAAAGCTTGAAAACTGCTAAGAATAAATCTTAAATGTTCTCACCACACACAAAAAAAGATAATGTAAGTTGATGGATATGTTACTGGGCTTGATTGTGGTAATCATTTCATAACGTATATGTATATCAAAACATCATGTTGTATACTATAAATATATACAATTTTTATTTATCAATTATACTTCAATAAAACTGAAGAAAAAAGAATCATAATATGCCCAAAAGACAACTGGAGGAAAAAAAATACAGCAAAATGATTACCTCTGGGTTAAAATTCTGATAATGCCACTTTGAACAAGTTATTTAATGTCCCTGAGCCATATTTTTCACATCTTTAAAATAGAGATAACAATTCCTAACTCTTTGTGATTATTAATGAAATAATGAACCAAAATGTGGACTGTAATTGTACCTATTCCATAGGGTTAGTGCACGTAAATGAGATGGGATGTACCATTTTAGCAGAGTATCTAGAGCACAGGCAGCAGTTAGTAAAATGTTGACCATGTACAAACCTGCTAACAAGGAAACCCTCACATGGGCCCCATTCTTGCTGCTAGCTAACTTCTTTTACAACATGGCTCATTCACACCAAATTAAGTAGAACACCATTTTGAATTATAGGTGTGATTAAGTACTTGCTGATTATTTTTCCCCTTTCTCGCCACACACATAGCAAACATCTAAATCTGATTTAACAAGCTTATCTTTTACTGGGTGGTTTTTCATATTACTGAAGTATTTTATATAACCACAGAGATTCTCCGTAGGTTTTCCTTAAATAACATGCTCACATTCCTTATATTAAACCTAAAACATGTTAATTTACTATATGCTAACATAAATCAGAGTTTTTAGGAACACATCTGTTGTATAAAACAGATGACACCTGTACACATTGTGAATGCACACATATAAATAGTAAACCAAAGTATACTGTTGTAGGAAATCTAAAGAGTAAAATAATAAACTCCTGTTTAGAGTTAAAAGTATGTAATTAAGCAAAATACTGAGTCCATGGTAAGTATGCAATGAAAAATACACCGACTGAATTATCATGCTAATGATAAACTCTTCTAGGAATGACTCTTAAGAGTCGTTCTGTCTTTGAAATTGATTATTTATTTCATAAACCTATTATATTCATGGAATCAATTTTACTAATTATGAGATTGTTTTATGATATCTTTTGTTTTTATCATAAGTCAGTGCACTCAGTATATTTAGATTCTACTTTATGTTGTGTATGCTGTTTCCTTCAAAATGTTCTTTAGGAAAAAAAATATTTGAGCCGCAGAAACAGGCTGTTCTAGAACATCCTTTCCTTTAAAGACATGAGTTTCTCCAGCGTACAAAATGATTGGATTCCAAATTGGTTAAATTGCTTCTTCTGTAACAGTTCAGTCACATGTTGTCTTGTTACAGTGGAACATGTGCTCTCATTTCAGAAGAGCCATTCTGTGAAAAAATTTTCTTTGGCCCACATAGCCAATCCCCGGATTTGTGGGTGTTACCTCCTTTCTGTGTTACCAGTTTTTTTCATCATCATTATTGCTTCTGCTTCATCAGCTGTAACACAGTTTAGGGCAATCCTTTTAAAGAATGAGATGTTTTTCAAAATAGCCAAAACAGTTGGCTAGACAGAAAAGAGATATCAACAAAATTAGGTCAGTCGTTTGTCTGTGTGTTGCTCCCTGAACCACTTCAGAGACACACCATCTCACACATGTGTAAACTAACAGACATTAAGCAAGCATATCATCTGTGCATTCCAACACACATTTTTATCCTATTTTATTAAGGAAAGTAAATGATACGCAAAGTGATTTCATTCAGAGAATACAGGACCAAAAGAACCAAATAAATGCTTGGTTTAGACCCTCTTTAGCAAGCCCTCTAGGTGTTTCTGATGCAAGTTAAAGGATGAAAAACACTCTGTAGCAACACAGAAGGAATAAGGCCCAGTACTTGCCCCTAAGCACTTCTCCTTGGTCTCAAGGAATTCCCAGCTGCTTCAAATTTGCATTTTAATTACCTAGCACAGTTTTATCATATATAAGCTTAGTTGATCATGATAATATTATTACTACTTAAGAGTGTAATGGTTTTTCATCTCTTCTTGAGCAGCCATTCAATGAAGTATTTATCAGAAAGTAGTAGTTAGTATCCATTACAGAAAGCCTTATGAAGCTTATGAGTTGAGCTGCATTGTTGTTGCTTGTTACAACACACACACATAGAGAGAGAAAGAGAGAATTATAAAGTATAAAATCTTAAGGGACAAATATTTTCAATAAATAATTTTAAAGTGATTTTTGTGTTGTGTTTAAATTCTAGATAATATTATTAAGTTTATACTTGCTGTCTTCTCATGTTTATTAATACAGGTCGTTTACAGCTTTCTGACAACATAATTAATATACAATTAACTATATATATTTATAAAGCATCTAATTTGATAAATTTTGACACATATATACATAGTATCATAAAACAGTTTGTAGAGGGGCTTTCAGTTCTGATAGATTACAGGTATTCATTACTTGTGCATTTTCCCCCTTTCAACCCTGATTTTAAAATGGGACAGCAGAGAACACTTCCTGAGTAAAGTAACATGAGCTAAGATTTGTAAGATGAGTTGGATACCTCCCCAAGTGAATACAAAGGGGAAGAGTTTTACAGAATGGAAATAAAGTCTATCTCACCTAGACTTCTAGACTTCTCACCTCTGACATCTAGACTCATGGCTGTTGTAATTTATCATGACTTTGGGTTTTGAAATATTTACTCAACTCTTTGTTTCTTCTTATAATTCCAAATGAGATGAGCTTAACAGGGCAAGTGAAATAAGCAACACTGCTTCTGAGAGTAGCCATCCCTGCAGTTTGTTTCTTAAATTAGAGTAACTTGTTTAGCTTTGTCCATCAATCCACTCTGGAATTCATGTTTATATGCTGTGTGTATTATAGAGAACAGCATGAGGAAAATTATATTTTCACTTTTAAAGAATGAAATCTAATAACTTGCCTTTAATTTCCTTTTTACCTTCTTCTTCCCCTGAGCAAATTATTACCTCCCCAAATATTTATTTATTATTACTCCCATGTGTTAACACTGAGACTTTACTTTTTGTTCTCTCATTTGCATTATTTCCTCCATTGCAGGTTGGCTTCATGAGTTGGGAAAGAGACTGGAATCTCCGTACTATGGCAACAATACCTTGGGGGGCCCGTCGATCCGAAGTGCCTATATTGCCGCGCTGTACTTCACGCTGAGCAGCCTCACCAGCGTGGGTTTTGGGAACGTCTCTGCTAATACAGATGCAGAAAAGATCTTCTCCATCTGCACCATGCTGATTGGTGGTAAGAGAGCATCTTCTTTTATACCAAGAAGAGGAACTATGCCTGCCTAACTATCACTGCCTGTTTGTTCCATCCTGAAATACAATAGAGATAAGCTGAGTAACATTGGAAGATTCTGAAAGCACTAATTAGATAGTCTAGATGCAAAGCTGTAGTTGTCTCTGTGGTTCCATATAAAAAGAGACTTGAGAGATTAACACACTAGAGCGTGCATTTAAGAAGAATAAAGCAAGATTAACACATGGGGCTCCCCTTATGTAGAATCATTACTTCCTCCAGCTTACTGTTTTAGCCTGCAAAGGTAAGACGAAGTAAGAAGTGGCTATGTAGGCAAACTTATAATACACATTTGCCCTTCCCACTAGGATGTATACTCTGGACAGTGGCTTAGACCCTTTCCTAGATCCTAGACTTTTCCTAGATCCTCCAATTTACTTTTACATATGCCCTCTTTCTGGTCCACATTGTGCTTGAAACTATGGGTCAAGTCCGTTTCAGACTCTTCACTCAGTTTCTTCATTTTTCAAGTGATGTATTAGGCAAGATGCAACTGTGGTTCTTTCTATCTCTGATGTAATGTTATATGACCATAAATAACATAGAAATTGCTTTCTATAAAACAATGGTATTAGTAAGATCCAGCAGTACTTCTCCCAATAAAAAAACAAATTTAATTTAGATGGTCTTCGCACTTCTCTCCCTAGGCAACTCTTTTATAAGAGACTCAGTGAAAGAGGGTGGTTGATTTAGCAAATATCTATCCCCACTCCTGGAATGAAAGCCCCAAGTACACTTACTTTGGAAAGCTCAAAACATTAAAAAATTAGGAAATTTGCCCAAAACGCTCTCTAGAGAATTTTATGACAATCAAAAACAGGAATAAATATTTCTTATATGAACATAATGAAATAGTCTGCATTTTATACTTCTCTTCAAAGAAATCACATTTTTAAAGCATTAAGAATATTTTTAAAGCCAGTAAGTTCAATATTCAGTTAAACTAAGAGACAGCTATAATTCATAAATATACATAAAGTCTGCAAAACCTGGGACTGATAGATGGCAAACGCGAGGAGAGATGGGAAGATGTGACAAGAGGGTCTGGCATGTCAAATCTCAGAAAGCATCAGCAAAAATACACTTCCTAAGTGTGAGGTTCATAACCTAAAGTGCAAAAGCTATCACCCTCCTTTATTACAAGTAAGAGCAACAAGTGAGCAAGTTTAGTGGAGAAGTAGAGAAGGCTTAACTCACAAAGAATCACACAAACCGTTCATATTTGCAGAGATCATGCTAACAACAGACAATAATTCAAAATATATTAATAAAGCTATTGCTGTTATTAAAGAAGACCACAAACAAAAACTAAGTATCTTAGAAAAGATATAACAAAAGAGATTAAAGATAAGATGAAGTATCTAAGCAAAGATATCAAAGAAAAAAGCAAAGCCATCTTATGCACAAAGATAAAATTGAAGGAAAAAAGGGAATAGACATTGCAAAGAATGTAATGAGTCATAAAGGATAAAAAGAAGGAAAGGAAAAGAAACTGAAGGGAAGGAAGAAAAAGCAGAGAGAAAAAACAAAAAGAGACAGAGGGAGGAGAGAGAGAGAGATCAAGGATGGAAGGCAGGCAGGCAAAAGAAAGAAAGAAAAAGAGTGACAAAGACAGAAAGAAATGAACTTAAAAAGAGTAGAGAAAACCCTAACAGTAGAAAGCAGGCTAAGGAGAGCCAGCATATGTATATTGCTTATTAATACATACATAACTTTTAATAAGAATCAGCAAATTCAAAGGAAGACTTTTCACTATATAGCATTTTACATAATTTTTTAGAAAATGTTTGATAACATGAATTATTGCATGTAAAATTTTTAAGCAAGAAGAAGAAAACAAGCTAGATAGAGGCACAATAGAAAGGAAGGAAAATAGCAGGGTAGATTCAACCATTTATGTATTCAAATGTTGTATTAGTTCATTCTCACTCTGCTAATAAAGACATACCCAAGACTGGGCAATTTATAAAGAAAAAGAGGTTTAATGGATTCATGGTTCCACATGGCTGGGGAGGCCTCACAATCATGTCAGAAGGCAATGGAGGAGCACAAGCACATTTTACATGGCAGCAGGCAAGAGAGCACGTGCAGGGGAACTGCCCTTTATAAAACCATCAGATCTTGCGAGACTTATTTACTATCAGCAGAACAGCACAGGAAAAACCTGTCCCCATGATTCAATTACCTCCCACCAGGTCCCTCCCCACAACATGTGGGGATTATGGGAGCTACAATTCAAAATGAGATTTGGGTCCGGGACACAACCATATCAAATGTATAACCAAATACTTACTGAATGTCTATTATATGACACCACCAATACAATAATAAATAGTGAACATGTATTAGTTGTTTTTATGTTCCATTCTCTGTTTTAAGTGTTCTAACACAATACCATAATTTTTAAAGCAAATCTATGGGGTTGGCACTATTATTATTTTTTCTTATAACAAATAGACTATTATACTATTTTCTCTGGACTCCAAACCCACCTTTATTTATTTTGCTTTGTAACGCTGGGGTTTGTACTCAGCAAAACTCATTCTTCTTTGCCAGCTGATCTCAGTTGCTTTTTCTTATAGGAGGAACCAAGGGAAGACTGGCAGGCAGGAGGAGGGGAGAAGGGACTACCTGCTGTGGTGCGCATGCTGTTCCCTCAGTGGACGCAGGCACCTCAGCAGCAGCAGATGGTTTCAGCCTTCATTCCAGAACCAAACTCACTGGGCCTCCTCAGACAATCCTGCATCAGTCAGGGGCGCCATCTTGTCCAAAGACAGAACCCTGGCTCACTGACACTCCTCACAACTCCTGCTCTGTGTTTCTATGTTCTGATAACTGCACTTCTTCCCTCTGTGTATCCAGCCCTAAGGGTTAAGCCTTCTGCATTTGCTATGTCCGTGTTACCTCTATTTTTCCTTTTTGTTTATTCAGCCTTCCAACCCCAGGAAAACCAATTCTCTATACTGAATTACTGCTGTTGAAATATTTAGTATAATTTCTTTCTTCCAAACTTCCAACTGATGCAGATTGATACTATCCACATTTTTCAGATGACAAATCTAAAGTATGGAGAATTAAAGTAACTTTCCAATGCCACACAACCAGTTAGTAAAGACGCAAGGTTTGAACCCAGGTGAATACTTACTTCTCTCCTTAAATATGTAAAGGGAAACTTCACTGAACCATAAGGCTGCTGTGATGGAGTATTAGGAGATGTTGGAGTCTACCTGGATCAAGTAAGCGTTCTTTTTAGGCTAGAGTTCCGTTAATATTTTCTGCCCCACAATATTCCCCTCAAAACCTGTTTTAGCACGTCCTCTTAATGACCTTAAGTCAAGACATCACTTTGAGTTTTGAACTTTATAATAGGAGATGGCTCCTACAGGCTTCCTTGCATGAGAGAAGTGATATGAGTGTGTGGGTCTTAAGCAATTGGTCACCCAACATACAGTGAAATCAAAGAAGTATAAAAACAAACGTTCCCTCAAACAGCTTGTGATCTAGTTCGGAGGAGATAGGCTGAAACATGTGGGAAGAGTTTTAACGATACCAGGCAGTAAATGCTAAGTGCCATGTCAGTTAGGAAGTTCAGAAGCAGTGAGAGTTTCTTGGAAAGACAGTGCCATGGCACAGTTGTTGAAGTAGCATGCTGGGGCTGCAGCAACTGTAACAAGCTCTTGGCTGATGTAGAGCAGTGACAGCCTAGGGAGCAGAGAACAGGAATTCTCATTTTCTGAAGAGCTACAGTGTGCCAGGCCCTGTGGTGACTGTTTCATATCCAGCATTATGACTTTTTATAATTTCTATTCTCTGTGATAGCCCATATTTCAGCCAAGCAAAATCACAAGCATTTTGCAGATAAACACAGTCTATACTTATTTAATATTTGCCCATGTTTCTTCTACTCCTGATGATAATTTTGGGAAATGCTCACAGCTTAATTCTACTAATTTGACATTTCAAAAAATCCGTAAGATAAATGAGCTTATTCTCTATTGATCCACTTACTGTATTGTGAGTAGTACTGAATCAAAAATTGTTAATGCACAAACTATTCCCTGCTGTTCTCTGTAGGTAGGTGCAACACTGATCACAAAGGCCAAAAGATACAGGAAATAATCTGGTAATGTTACTTTGTTTCTTGTTTGCTGAATGTTTATTGAGCAAATGTCCTGGTGCAAAATCAGTGCCCACTGGTAAGTGGCATTAAAAAATTTAGGTGACCAGAGCAGCACTTAGCAAACTATTCATTTGAAAGTCAAATGGCATCTAAGTGACTTGAATTTATTAGTTAAAGCTTTTCATATTTGTGTTTGTGGGGAAATAATTTTATATTATTGTGAAAATTACACTGGCTAGGAAAAATGATGCCTGCATTTTAATATTTCCCAATTAACTAATTACTTGTAAAATGTTGAGAACTAATCATAAGAGCTCACACTATTGAGCACTTTGTTCATTTAATTCTTATAATACTATGAGATAGAGATTATTAATACCCCAATTTAGACATAAGGCAGAAGAGATTTAGTGAGTTTAAATCCAGGACTCACTAAGACCTGGCAAACTTCTTCTAAAATATTCATTTTATTATGTACTATAAATTTATTTTATTTACTTAATTTTGATAAATATAAACAAATAATTTATTTTTAAAAAGAAGAACCTAAAATTTGTGTTACCATAGACTTAAGTCTAGGGTATCTCACTAGGAGTCCCCCACACAAGGCTGATGAAATTGCTAGTGGCAAGGATGCAATATACTAGAAAAATAAACAGTAGCAATATTAAATGAGAAAGGGGACTGGCAAAACTCCAGATAATTATCAAGGACAGAGATAATATTGCTCAGTGAGAAGAAACGGGTGAAAAAATGCTGAATAGATCCACCTGGGAGTTCTCTGGGAACCCATCAGAATTTCCACAGGAGTTGTACAGGTTTT